TCAGCTGTTAAAAAGAATTCATTTGAATCAGTTCTAATGAGATGGATGAAACTGGAGCCCATTATACAGAGTGAAGTAAGCCAGAAAGATAAAGAACATTACAGCATACTAACACATACATATGGAATTTAGAAAGACGGTAATGATAACCCTATATGCAAAACAGAAAAAGAGACTCAGATGTACAGAACAGACTTTTGGACTCTGTGGGAGAAGGCGAGGGTGGGATGTTTTGAGAGAACAGCATCGAAACATGTATGTTATCTATAGTGAAACAGATCACCAGCCCAGGTTGGATGCATGAGACAAGTGCTCGGGCCTGGTGCACTGGGAAGACCCAAAGGAATCGGGTGGAGAGGGAGGTGGGAGGGGGGATCGGGATGGGGAATACATGTAACTCCATGGCTGATTCATGTCAATGTATGACAAAACCCACTTCAATATTGTAAAGTAATTAGCCTCCAACTAATAAAAATAAATGGAAAAAAAAATAAAATTAAACTTTAAAAAAATAAATAAATAAAAAGATCCCTCTGACTGCTGAGTTAGAAATAGATAGTGGAGACAAGAGTGATAAGAGAAGATAGTAATTTGAGCCCAGGGGGACAGAGACAGATACGCTAAGAAGTGGTTAGCTTCCAGATATATTTTGGAGATATAGCCAAGAGGAATTGTGTTGATTGTATACTCTTTTTTCCCCCCTCTCCCTCAGTGCAGCTTACAGTATATTAGTTCCCCCAACAAAGGACCCAGAGCCCCTGCAGTGGAATCGCAGAGTCCTAACCGCTGGACCACCAGGGAAGTCTGTTGATGGTTTACATGTAGAGAAGTAGAGACAGGAGTCAAGGATGACTTGAAAGTTCTTTAGCTTAAGCAACAGGAAAGATGGAATTTCACTAAGATACAGAAAGGATGTGCTGATGAAAGATAAAAGGTTGATAATTAGGAGATCAGTCCCTTTAGGATGTGAAGAGTTTAGGAAATTTATTAGACATCAAGAGGAAATGTCAAGGAGATCATTCAGAATGAGTTTGGAGTCTGGGGAGAGGTTGGGCTGAAGGTTTAACTTTGGAACTCATCACCTTTCAGGTGGTACTTGATGAATTCAGATAACATGGTAAATGCAGGTAGAGAAAAACAGGACCTGGCACTGGGAGGTAAAAAGACCTGGAAGATACAAAGGAGCCAGTGAAGGACAGAGGAGGAACCATCAGTAGATATGACTTCTAAACAAGTTATAGAAGCACTCTGTTGAAATATTACATTGCAAGTAGCTTTACAACTTTAGCTGGTGTATCCCAAGGCCTCTTACATGTCCTTTCTTAACCATCAATGTGTAACATGCCTGACCTCCAAAGTTAAGGCACTGGCCTCTGAAGGCAGAGTGAGCGCTGCACATGAAGTGTGACCCTACTAAGCCAGCCTACCCTTTCTTCACCACACCCCTCACCATCCTGTGTGGCTGGCTTCTCCCTAGGGAGGAGAAGAGTCGTTACCACAAGTTAATCACAGCTGGCAACAGGCTCGGCAAACCAGTCTGAAACTACATCTGTGTTTGTGAATGTTTTTGCTTTATCAAAAGGAACATGTAATTATCTTAAAAACATAATTTTCCATCTTTAACATAAGCTGGAATGGTCAAACCTCCTTAAACTCAGAGTGCTTTTACAAGGACAGTTTATTCAATTACCTTTTTAAGCTTTTAAAAGTCTCTGACTCATTTGAGTGAGTGGGGGGAAAAAAAAGGACAAAACATCAGTATCTTGCTGGAAAAATATTGTGGTTATTGGCCCTGAAGCAAAAACAATGCTATGATAAGGGCATTGTGTTCCCCAAATCAAGTGTACACCTCATCTTTTTCTTAAGAAGTCTTCCTGCACTGAGGACTTCATGAACCATGAATGTTTACAATTTACACGATGTGCCCTTGGATAAGTTCATCTCTCTAAACGTTAGTTCCATTCTGGGTAAAATGGGGATAATAGTACCTGCACAAGATTATATGAGTGGGAAGCACCCAGCACAATGCCTGATACTCAGGAACTCATTTTCCAGTGGCCTTAAAACAAATATGAAACATGTTGCTGGAACAAGCACTCCATCCTTGAGAGAACTGCTGCTCCTGCTGTCTGTCTACACCTTGCCTGCCTCAGAGCTCCTCTCTAATATCTCCAGCAATACACCATGTACTTGGGATCATCTTTGCTGGAGAGGGACACTGTTGTTTGTAGAGAATATTAGAACATGGCCTCATCAAAACATTGGTGAACAAAATGTGAAATGTCTTTTTTTAAAAATTGCAGTAATGGGCACAACAGATAATCAACTAATCTATTTCAACCATGACCTTCATCTTAACTGAAGCCTTTGTTTGAGAGTTAGGTTAGGGTTGTATATTCCCCACATTGAGCTTTTCTGAACGAAAATTTTACTGCTTATTTTTGCAACCTGGTCAAAACATGTGGTTCAAAAGATACATTGCTCTGTGTGTGTGTGTGTGTGTGTGTGTGTGCGCGCGCGCTCACTAAGTCACTTCAGTCCTGTCTGACTCTTTGTGATCCTTTGGACTGTAGCCTGCCAGGCTCCTCTGTCCATGGGATTCTCCAGGCAAAAATACTGGAGTGCGTTGCCATGCCCTCCTCCTGGGAATCTTCCCGACCCAGGGACCAAACCCATATCTCCTGTGTCTCCTGCATTGGCAGGTGGGTTCTTTACTACTAGCGCCACCTGATACATGCTAATGTTATTACACAATTATCCAGTGGGGCTTCCTTCGTGGCTCAGACAGTAAAGAATCTGCCTGCAATGCAGGAGATATAGGTTTGATCCCCGGATCAGGAAGGTCCTCTAGAGATGGGACTGGCTATCCACTCCAGTATTCTGACCTGTAGAATTCCATGGACAGAGGAGCCTGGCCCGCTACAGTCCATGGGATCACAAAAAGTCAGACATGACTGAGCAATTAACACTTTCACTATTTTCATAAGATGTGAAACACCAAGAATGAATCCTAATGTAAACTATGGATTTGGGGTGATCAATGATGTGTCAGGGTTCATCAGTTGTAACAAATGGAGCACTGCAGTGGGAGATGTTGACAATGAAGGGGACTGTGCATGTACGGGGCATATGGCGAACCTCTGTAACTTCCTTTTAATTTTGTTGAGAACATAAAACTGCTTGAAAAAATAAAATCTATTTTAAAATTTTTAAAGCAAAACAAATTTTTATTTTTTTTTATTTTTTTTCCATTTATTTTTATTAGTTGGAGGCTAATTACTTTACAACATTGCAGTGGTTTTTGTCATACATTGAAATGAATTAGCCATGGATTTACATGTATTCCCCATCCCGGTCCCCCCTCCCACCTCCCTCTCCACCCGATCCCTCTGGGTCTTCCCAGTGCACCAGGCCCGAGCACTTGTCTCATGCATCCAACCCGGGCTGGTGATCTGTTTCACTATAGATAATATACATGTTCCGATGCTGTTCTCTTGGAACATCCCACCCTCGCCTACTCCCAGAGTCCACAAGTCTGTTCTATACATCGGAGTCTCTTTTTCTGTTTTGCATATAGGGTTATCGTTACCATCTTTCTAAATTCCATATATATGTGTTAGTATACTGTAATGGTCTTTATCTTTCTGGCTTACTTCGCTCTGTATAATGGGCTCCAGTTTCATCCATCTCATTAGAACTGATTCAAATGAATTCTTTTTAATGGCTGAGTAATATTCCATGGTGTATATGTACCACAGCTTCCTCATCCATCCGTCTGCTGATGGGCATCTAGGTTGCTTCCATGTCCTGGCTATTATAAACAGTGCTGCGATGAACATCGGGGTGCACGTGTCTCTTTCAGATCTGGTTTCCTCGGTGTGTATGCCCAGGAGTGGGATTGCTGGGTCATATGGCAGTTCTATTTCCAGCTTTTTAAGAAATCTCCACACTGTTTTCCATAGTGGCTGTACTAATTTGCATTCCCACCAACAGTGTAAGAGGGTTCCCTTTTCTCCACACCCTCTCCAGCATTTAAAACAAAACAAATTTTTAAAATTTCATCCTGAAGTGGCACATATCCATCCTTGTGGTCAACAGATATGAGAGAGCCTCCTAAGGATGAGGGTCTGAGTCAGAGCTGGCTGAGCCTCCTGACAATAGACCGGACTTGGTATGTGACTCATTTCACGTTTTCTTTCCTTTTTTTTTTTTTTTGGCCGCACCACATGGCATGTGTGATCTTGGTTCCCTGACCAGGGATCGACACTGTGCTCCCTGCCATGGAAGCGCAGGATCTTAACTACTGGACCACTAGGGAAGTCCCATGTGTGACTCACTTTAAATGTAGTTTCTCGAAGTACTTTTTTGCCCCATGAAAAAGCATCATAGCAAGTAACATGCAATAGGGCAATTATGGTCACTATCTTCTTGGAGAATGTATCCAAGGCAACCTGGAGTTCACCAGCACTGAAGAAAATTCAGATAAGCGGTTCCTTGACCTCTCTTTCCTGAAGCTCTCCTGACTTAACTTCTGTGACTGGTGTTCTCCTGGGGTTCCCGCCTGCTTTTCAGACAGATGAGCGAGTCCCCCAGTGAGGTCTTCTGTCTCCACCTAACTCTGAAATGTGGGGGCCCCACTACTTTCCCCACTTTTCATGTTCTCACTCCAATGTTCCCTCTCCTGGATACAGAGAGTTACTTGGGTTTCTCTGAGATTGCTGGGATTTCAGAAGATAGTGCTGGATTCAAGAAAGGGGAAGAAGTAGTGGGGGAATTTGTAGTAAAGTGTAGCAAGTTTCAGTGGGAGAGCCTTGCCTGAACTATAAGTGTAGAGAAAATGAAGAGCTGTCTTTGGGTTGCACTGATTTCAGTTACTATGTATATGGTAAGGAATTCTCCAAATCTATTATCTCTAGCATAATACTTCTCACAAGCTTCACAGCCTTGTATCTCCACCTGGATATCTTCCAGAGAACTCAAACTGTCTAAAACCACAGTATTCACCTTCTACCTTCAGACCTACTTCTCTTTCTATTTTCTACACTTTTTGTGGGACCACCATCTATCCAGTGGGCTTCCTGGGTGGCACCAGTGGTAAAAATCCACCTGCCAATCCAGGAGGAAAAAGAAACACCAGGTTCAACCCCTGGGTTGGGAAGATCCTCTGAAGTAGGAAATGGCAACCCCCTCTGCACCAATATTCTTGCCTGGAAAGTTCCACTGACAGAGGAGGGCCACGGGGACACAAGAGTCAGGCACGACTGAACGTGCATGTGCACACAGACACACACACACACACACACACACACACACATCTATCTAGTTATCCAAGTTAGAAACCTACTTCCAATCTCTCTTACTCCCATTCCCCAAATCCAATCAGAAACCTTACAAATTCACATTCCAAATATTTTGTGGATCCATCATACATCTCATCATAAAGTCAAAGCATCAAGGATTTCTAGGAGCTTCCCCAATCCAGCCCCAGTGATTAAATCCAGGATACATAGATATTTTGTAAGGAGAGCTCTAGAGACATATTATCCTTCTAGCCAAATATATTTTCTGCTGCCAGTAATAAATTTTTACTTCTATAGTAAAGTCTTGATCATTTTTTACTTTCTTTGGCATTTTATATTCATCTAATCCTCCCAATTTCTCTTTTGGCACATAATCAGTTCTTAGGAATTCTAGAATTCAGGTCTCTGCTAGGCCAATGCCATTATTGTCTATTAGTTGCAGCCTTACGACTTTCCTAAGTTGCAATGCAGAGGTTTCCAACACCAAGGGTGGACACTGCTTTGGTCCCTGTGAGCCCTGGAAGAACATCACAGACCAGCTGCTGTGGCTGCTAAGTAGCTTCAGTCGTGTCCAACTCTGTGTGACCCCATAGACGGCAGCCCACCAGGCTCCGCCATCCCTGGAACTGTCCAGGCAAGAACACTGGAGTGGGTTGCCATTTCCTTCTCCAATGCATGAAAGTGAAAAGTGAAAGTGAAGCCGTTCAGTCGTGTCCAACTCTTTGTGACCCCATGGACTGCAGCCCACCAGGCTCCTCTGTCCATGGGATTTTCCAGGCAAGAGTACTGGAGTGGGGTGCCACGTCCTTCTCTCACAGACCAGACATGCATATAAATTAGAGCAAATGCTGGGGAAAGTTATTAGACATTTCTAATTCTACAAAGAATCTAGAAATCCAGTCCCTATTTGAGAAATTTTAAAAAATAAAAATAAACAACTTGGCAATAAGCAGAGATTGGAGAAAGGACCAACATAGCACATGTTCCCTCCCAATCAACAAAGTGATGCTTGGGAAAGGGCTGTCCATTCTCTTGAAGTTAAGACAACACTTCATGACACTGTCCCTCTGGCCAGGCAGTAGGGACAAATAGAGGTGCAAATAAGAAAATTGCTGTTTCAGCAGGTCTACAGTATAGAGGGGAAAGAGAAAGTGATAGTTGCTCAGTCATGTCTGACTCTTTGCAACCCCATGCACTGTAGCCTACCAAGCTCTTCTGTCCATGGAATTCTCCAGGCAAGAATACTGGAGTGGGTTGCCATTTCCTTCTCCAGGGGATCTTTCCAACCCAGGGATCAAGCCCGGGCTCCCTCATTGCAGGTAGATTTTTCACCATCTGAGCCACCACGGAAGCCCACAGTAGAGAGGAGGGGAAGACGAAAATAAAAGAAAAAGAATTGTAATGAGTGTGGTGGGGGATAGTCTCTTATTAGCTTTATGAAGAAATTTAGACTTTGTCTTATTTTGTGTCTTAGAAATACGACTCTCTGGTGGAGAGAATACAGTGAAAGAAGACTACAGGAAGAGTTATTTATAAAGAGGCTTATTGTATTGCTTTAAATGAGAAATTTGGTGGCTTATATGAGGAGAATAACAATGGGATGTAAATAAGTGCTTGCGTTAAAAAACATTTAGGAATTAAAAAAGAAGTGATGATTACACATGAAGATAAAGGACACAGAGAAATGAGTGATGACTCCAGGTGTCTGACATTAGCAACTTGTTGGGTGAGACAGCAGTCACTACCATTGGAAATTAGAGCTGAGAAGCAGGGGTGGGAAATGAGAACGGAGAAGGAGCATAAGCTGAGTTCCTGATATGTTACATCCCACATTCCTGCAGTCTATTCAAGATGAAGCATATGATAGGCAATTCAGTATGGAAGTTAGAAAAGTGATCTTGCCAGGAGATAAAGCTTAAAATAAAAGAGCAGACAGTAGTGAACGGGATTTGATGATCTCTGCCATGGAAACAAGTGGGAGCTGAGACTCAGAGACCCTAGAACAGGACTCAGGCACGGGTCCTTGCAGAGGAGATGCTTACAGAGAGAAGAAGCACTGCTGTGGTCTGGTGAGCAGCATCTTTTCAGAAGGAGAATTTATAACAACGCGCTGATATGTGAAGATGCTCCAGAGAAGGCAATGGCAACCCACTCCAGTGCTCTTGCCTGGAGAATCCCAGGGACGGGGGAGCCTGGTGAGCTGCCGTCTATGGGGTCGCACAGAGTTGGACACAACTGAAGTGACTTAGCAGCAGTGGCGGTGAAGATGTTCAACACACATTACATGAAAGGAGGTCACTGAAGAATGATACGTGTGGTGTGATCTCCTTGTATTTTTTCCATATTGAATCTGAATTTAATATTTCAGGACATACAAGAGACTATCAAAAAAAAATTAAAAAGGTCCTTAAGAAAGTAAGGCTTTCTTGTCTATGGACAGTCATAGACAAGAGAAGGGGCCTGTAAGTTACCACATGGTGTACCTCCAGGATTGATGTCATATTTCACCTTGAGTGTGTACTGTATTTGTATATATTTTAAGTTATTTTTAAAAGGTGAAAGTGATCAATAGTTATCAATAGTGCAGAGAAATAAAGTCAAAATGGAAAATATTCATTAACTTTGCAACAAGAAGGTCATTAGGGAATTGATGGAAGGCTTTTCATGGGAGTGAAGAGGATGCATTTGTAGATGGCTGTTTTGAAATGGGAGAGAAATAGGAGAAAATCTGTGTCTATGCCAAATGTGTAGATAACTCATTCTGAAAGATTAGTTTTCTACAAGAGACCAGGAGAGAGATAAGAAGAGACAGGGCCATTACAGGAGTGGGCATGAAGTTCAGGAAGGGGATTTTTTGTTTAATCTGTTGGGTTTAGACTACTTTGACATCTTGATAGACTTCACCTCATTATTAAGGGAGCTTCTACAGAAGCAAGAAGTGGGACAGGGACTTGAGATATATACTTCAGAGAGGTAGGAAGGGATGGAACTTGAAGAAAAGGTTTAAGAATTAACCTTGCGGAGGAGGAGCGAAGATGGCGGAGGAATAGGACGGGGAGACCACTTTCTCCCCTACAAATTCATCGAAAGAGCATTTGAACGCTGAGCAAATTTCACAAAACAACTTCTGATCGCTAGCAGAGGACATCAGGCGCCCAGAAAAGCAGCCCATTGTCTTCGAAGGGAGGTAGGACAAAATATAAAAGACAAAAAGGGAGTCAAAAGAACTACGGACGGAGACCCGTCCCGGGAAGGGAGTTTTAATAGAGGAAGTTTCCAATCACCAGGAAACCCTCGCACTGGCGGTACTGGGGGAAGTTTTCGGCAATCTAACTGGGAGGAAAAATTAAACAAGGCCCACAGATTACGTGCCTAAAAGCAACTCCCAGCAGAAAAGTACCCCAGACACCAGTACCCGCCAGCAACAAGCGGGGACGGAACGGAGAGGAGCGGGCGGCATTGCTTAGGGTAAGGACCGGCCCGAAGACCCTGAGAGCAATCGGAGGGAGCTTTTTTAAACTGTGGGATAGCAAGAGACAAAATTAACGGCCCGAACACACTGCCGGCGGTTCGCAAAACAAAGGGACTGAGAAAGTCCAGAGAAGAGCCGGCCCATCCCCGCTGGAGGTTGGAGGCAGGGGGGAGGGGAAAAGGGCAAACTCAGCCCCTGAGAAGCCACCCCCTCCCACACTGCAAACAGGCCCCGGTTCCTATCTAAAGACTTCCTGAGACCCGACTGGCGGCACGCGCTGGGGCCGCGGAGGGAAAAAGCGCGCCGTACCCGGGGAGATTGCGCCCAAGCCTCTGGCTGCCTGGGCCCCTCGACGCGGAGGGAAAAGGCGCGCCGCATCCGGGGAGAGTGCGCCCAAGCCTCTGGCTGCCTGGGCCACCCGCCGCGGAGGGAAAAGGCGCGCCGCACCCGGGGAGAGTGCGCCCAAGCCTCTGGCTGCCTGGGCCGCTCGCTGCGGAGGGAAAAGGCGCGCTGCACCCGGGGAGAGTACGCCCAAGCCTCTGGCTGCCTGGGCCGCTCGAAGTGGAGGGAAAAGGCGCGCCACATCCGGGGAGAGTGCGCCCAAGCCTCTGGCTGCCTGGGCCGCTCAGGCCGGGGAAGGCACAAAACGCAGGCGCAACCGAATCCGCGCTTTTGTGGAGTACCCGAAAACTGGAACCGCACTCAACGCAGGGCCCGCTCCATATAGAGCAGCCGGGAGCCTGAGCAGTGTAGATGGGGAAAGCACTGACACCCGTGAGCGGGGCAAACCCAGTGTGGCCGGAACACGGTGAGTGCTATCCACACAGAGCGGTATCTGTCTGCAGCGCCCCGCCCTCCCCGTAGCAGGACTGAACTGAACTGGCGAACCTAAATAAGAGATCACCTCCGCCCGCCTGTGTCAGGGCAGAAATAAACAAAGGGAACCGCTTCAGAAAGGACCGGTGCAACACATTAAAATCCCTGAAGGTAACACCGACTACACCGGAAGGGGCCTATAGATATCAAGAAGTGTAAGCTGGAAAGAGGAGCTATCTGAAATTGAACTGAACCTACACTGACCGCAACAACTCCAGAGAAATTCCTAATTTAAAAAAAAAAATTTTTTTCTTTCTTTTTTTATTTTTTATTTTTTCTCTTTTATTTTCTTTTAAAATTCCCTATTACTCCCCCATTACTCCTCAACTTGCATTTTCATATATTTTTACGATTTTTTTTAATTAGGAAAAAAATTTCTTTATTTTTTTTCTTTTTCTTGTTTTTGTCTCCTATTTCCTTTTAAAGTCCTCTAATACTCCTCTATTATTCCTTAATTTTCATTTTCATTTCACTATAACCTTGCCAAAAAAGAGAGAGAGAGAGAAACCCTATTTTTAAACTGAACTTCATATCCATTTCTAAATTTTTTTGTGTTTTTGTTTTTAAATATTGTATTTCAAAGAGTCTAACCTCTACACTAGATTTTTAATCTTTGTTTTTCAGTAGTATGTGATATAAATTTTGGTCATTTAAGAATCCAATATTC